TTTTAGCTGCCAGTCGCATGGTGGATCACTGGATTAGCAATCAGAGAGTACAGAGTGGAACGAGCAGTCCTGTACAAGATGCTGAATCAATATCACCATCCCCGGCCAAGAAAAATCTCAAAATTCAAACAACCGTGTCCAAAGACAAGCCTCGGACAATCGGCAGTCACAAAACATTATCTCAAAGGTATGTTGCTTTTTATTTTAGAGTCAGAGCCGTTCATTTTCGAGCATTTTACCAATTATATTGAAGCAGTGAATTTATTCAGCGTGGATCTGGGAAAATTCGCATACGTGTGCCTTGTTCAGGCATTCTCGCAGCACTGGAATTAAGAGATGAAAAGTAGAGAATTAGCTCTGAGGTCATTTTAAAAAGTGGTAAAAAGTAACACAGTTACACAGAACTTATCTCCCTCTCAGCCCGCCGTTAAGGAAAAAGGGAACTACACAAGACAAAGAAAAAACCCTGCCGAGCTCAAAATACATTTTCTTTGCCTCACGTGTACCCCCCCCCCCACCCCACCAATTTCCTTTTTAGAGCTACATATAACAATTAGCAAGTACCTCAGAAAAAATTTTCATCTTGCCTTCTTAGTTGGGACGCAGCGCGAACAACGAGATTTACCATCCTCGCTCTTTTTTCCACTCTGTGTTCTTCGTGCCAACCCCGTTCCGGCTTTGCGCTGTGGTCCTTACCCTATGCGAAAGCGAAGAGGTTGGCGACCCACCCTCTCACCTAACGATTAAGTCGGGCTTGATCCAACTATCCGCTTCTATTTTCGCCTGGTCTTGGGCTTGTCCCAGGCCAGAGCGATTCCCCATAACTCATTACCACGTCATTAATAACAATACCCAGGGTAGAATATTACATGTACATTGTTAAAGGTGTTCTGTTAGCTCGGGAGCACCACCGAGAACGAGGAGAAAAAACTTGCAACATGCTTTGCTACAGCTGAACAAGCACGCCCTAAACAGGGTAGCGTGAGCGTACAGCCTTCGTCACAAGAAAATTTTTTTTCTTTTTTAGGTTTGGTGGTAAAGATGCAAAAGTGACCATCTCTAGCACACCAAAGTTAGCTGTGACGTCGCCAAAATCGCCAGACGAGCAGACATTGAAGGTAAAAATGCCTCAAGGATCTACTGAACGAAGCAAGAAGCTGATTGCCAAGCAAAAACAGGCCGCTGCTACAGCTGCAGGTAGATTTGAACCTTAATTTTGTTGCAAAATAAAAACACACACCTTTGGGCTGCTTGGCCATATATTGTATTTTCTCAGCAAGACGTTTAGTAAGTAAGCGTGTGTAAATACGAGAAAAAAAGATCGAACGTTGACAGATAACGCTGTTGTCAGACAGAAGCTTGTAACCTTCACTGTGAGATACACTCAGGCAGGGTCCACACTACACCGGAGGAATTTGAAAACGCAGCTTTATTTCTACGGTAAGGCCTGCCGTCCACACTAATCCGTCACGAAAACGGAGCTTTTCGAAAACGCTCTTCAAACCGGAGGAATTTGAAAACG